TCTGGCAGCCATTTTCAGAACAGAGAGTCCCATACTGCCAGAGTTTTTTTGAGCATTTTGACTGATTTTTCAAGAGCCACAGAATAGTTTGTGCTATGACTATGTAAACACCGAACACACCAAAAGACAGAGTAGACTCTCTTCTTTCATCAGGAAAATATTTTTGTTTCTACCTTATTCCGTTCTTCCTCGACTTGCGTCTCACCGGCGACATGTTCTCTCATAGCGAACCATTGCGTTTTTCTTATTTGCCTACAGTCTATGCTCACCTCCCATCAAAAGTGGCACCGCCACCTAGAGGGTCAATTTGTTACTACATACTCTGTCTGGAAGCCGATATTTACGGACAAGCTTTAGCAGATCGTCCCCCAAGTCACTCGCGTTGAAAAACATAAAAGACGTCTATAGACGTCTTTGGCAGTCAACGGTTGTATTTGAATTGACGTCTATAGACGTCTTTGGCAGCCAATGAGTTAAAAGGTGCGTAGTCATACAGATGACCACTCAGATATTCACTCAGCTGAGCCGATTGTTAGAATTTGGCCATTAGCATTGTATGCTATCACCTGATCTATGTAAATTACTGGCTTTTCGTCTCCACTGTAACACAAGCTACCTTTTGTTGTTAGGAATCAGATCCCAGCTACAAAAGGTGTGTTACATGTTACTTCTGTTTTATCTTATAGCTCTTTTAATCAAAGTTCTGGTAGCCAACCCCGACGTACTTTAGCTTAGCCCTTAGCGACTGTAGCTCAGCAGCTAGCGATGGCTTCTCCTTCTCCCCCTTGCTCTCCTGGGTTAGGATTAACTAAATTTATATTTATTTTATAACTATATTTTGTGCTTCCTTTCTCTCTTATTCTTTTCTGTTGTTTTCTTTTCTTTTAGAACTATATTTTGTGTTAAAGTCTCTGGCTGTGACCACAGACTCTCTCTTCTCTCTCCATTTCTTTCTCTGTTGCATTAGATCCACCTTTAGGTCAACACACACACACACACCATTTGTTACCACATTCCAATGTTATCTACATGAATTAGGACCTGGCCTGTTCATGCCCAGAGGTAACTGGCCAATAGGACTTGGTTGTGTCCAGTCCTCTTTTGAGGAGGCGGATCGAGCCCAGGAGATAATGCCCATCACCGAGATCTCAGGGCTCTTTGCCCACTGAGACCCAGAGAGAGGTTTTTGTCTGTTAGAGCCCAGCTGATACACTTAAATGTGACCCAATAAATGCATTTTTTTTATACTTTTGATCTACTCTGGTTTGTTCTCAGGTTTATGGATAAAAGTTATGGAAGTGAACAACACAGCATGTGCAGTTCGCACTAACAGCTGTTTGCATTTAGCTAAAAGCACATCGCAGATATATCACACTAAGGCTTTCTTGTGTATCAGGGACACCAGAAGGAGAGCACGGCAGGCTGAAGGTTCTCGGGGAACAGAAGAACAGCGTTAGAAACAGCCTCTGGGACAAAAATACCACTCCTGGAATTGATGTCAGCTGTGAGACATATTTCTCTCTCACTTAGCTGATTAAACATCAAGGTCCCCCGATGGTCATTAGCAAATGAGGGTTCCTTTTCTTTTTCCCCTCTCAGTGTAATTGGTAACAGCCTGTTAATATTCTGACTGCTGTGTTATAGGAACTAAGAAAAAAGTGGAACGGGACGTTTTGGTGTTATGATTCTCGATTTTCAACTGTCATCTGACAAGAGGAAAAACTGGTTTGAGGCTGTGAATAACTATGAAGATTCCCTTTAAAGGGAGATGACAATGTATAGTTTTCAGAGTTGTAATGAAATACAAGAGCTCTTTTCAAAAAGACGAACAGCTGCCGTCAAACTTTAAGGGACACAGAGCCGTTGAATTTTTGTATCTGCTTGTGACGCACACAAATGATGTCATTTCACTTCTGTCCATCTTTCAGTTACGACCAAAACGGAGCCAAATCAGCCTAAATTCGGGTGTAGCTGAGCAGATCCCGACCCAGAGACGGATTCTGATGGTGGTGGTACACATTAATGACCCTAACCCTAACCCTGACCCTAACCCTCCAGCCATCATAAATGTGAGAAATAAATTTGTGGTATCGATACTTTTGAAAATGAATATCGTATCCGGATACAACATTTTGGTATCGATACTTTTTTAAGTATCGATACTTTTGACAACCCTACTTGTGACACACACAAATGATCTCATTCCACTTCCGTTCATCTTTCGGTTACGACCAAAAACGACCAAAAGCCACAACCCCCGACCCAGAGACGGATTCTGATGGTGGTGGTGATCTGGTCCCATGTTCTCTCACCTCGCTGGAGTCCTCCTGCTGGTTGATGATGGACAGGGCGTCCTCGGCCGCCTGCCGCTTGGCCTCGGCCACCGTCCGCTCCATCTTGGCGCGCTCGCTGCTGATCATCTCGTGGGCCTTGCGCTCGGCCTCGGACACGGCCTTCTGCAGCTCCGACATGGCCTGCCGCTTCACCTCGTTCACGGCCTCTTCTGGGAAGAGAGCGGACACAGACGGGGTCAGGCCCGCCGTCCCTGCAACGCAGCACGCACGGTTAGCTGTCGGGGGGGGGGGGGGGGTCTTTTACCAGGAACAAACGGCTAAAAAGCTACAGTAGGACAGTGTCTACATCTTTGTGTTTTTGTGTTTGTTCTCCCTGTGTTTGAGTGCATTCTTTGTAAGTGGGCAAACCTGCAAAATCAGCAAGGGGTCAAATACTTATTTCCCCCACTGTATATATGTGTAGACATGTATATATGTAAATGCCGTTGTTTTATTTATGGAGCCGGATCTCTCTCTAGCCATTCAAGAACAAGCCTGTTAGCTTAATTGGGGATTCTAATTTAACCCTCAGAGTGAATGTAAGTGTGCACTGTCATTTCTTTTGTTGTTTAAAATTGAACTTCTGACTTCAGCTTTGTCTCAGATGGAAGCTTTTATTATATACAATTATCAATCCCACTTCCCGT